GCCCATTACAATGAACCATGCGCCCTCCACCCCTTTAGGTGGAGTACCAAACAACTTCTTGGGCTAATAACTATTATTAGGTCCAATACCTTTAATGCTAGAGCATCTAGACAATTAGGTGTTTGTGTGTGACCCATTAGGTCCAACTTAGCCACTGACATAAATGGGCTTGGGTCCAATAAGCCCACAACCCATCTAATGACAACACAGAGCACTAGCAATGCTTTGTTGCCCCTGAACTAGTTAGATTAATGATTTGATCATCCTATTAAACATATTTGGTTGCCGTATATATTTCATTTCGTCTCGGTTACCTTCCCATAAAACCTAGGGTAAGGAAGCGTATCAACCCCTGCGGTTTAGGGTAAGCTTTATTCGAAATAGGGAATCTTCAATTTACAGACTCTAAAGGCAGATCATCTCATGATCTCTTTTACTATGCATAGATTCCTGAGTCCCTGTCAATGTCATCCCGATTTCTCCGGTTTACAAATAACCTAATCTCTCACAAAGATTTGACGAATTCCTTCAGCTTATCACCCTAGCCATGTGTTCTTTCAGGACAAGCCCAACAGTATACCTATGAGTCTCCATGTTTCAGGCAGACGAGGTGCACAATCAAAGCATGCAACACAGTCTAGGTAATAACTTCTGGTCTTAGGAAAGACATACCCAAATATAAAGAGACTACTCTAATGATACTCTCTGTGAGAGTTCCTCATAGAGTCTCTTTGTGGGTCCGTTCAGTGCAAGCTATACCCGTATAGGTCCACCCACGACTTTAGCTAAGACATCTCCATATCTGTAGCACATGAGGTCTATACCTTGTATCCATATACAAATAGATAAGTCGTGCTAGTCTTACCCGAGATTACTGACCCTATTCTCAGTATCTCTAGACTAGGAACATAAAATTAGGAATAAACATCCGGTATTCTTAAATCCTCATGATTGTGATCTCATCACAGATACTCAAGAGATACCTATTTTATTCCACGGGGTTTATCAAGTTATTCATAATATATTAATATTAATATCGAGACATAATTATGAAACAAGATAAAGAGTGCTTTTATTTATTTGCGACAATATTAAAAAGGTCTACATCTCTGTCCTTATTTAATCATAAGATTGTCTCTAGGACACCCAAATACTAACAGTTTCCCCCGTTGAAGCTTCTTTGGTGACTTTTCTCCTTACTCTATCTCTTGATTTCCATCTATTTGATGATGTTGTTGGATTCCTCTATTGTTTTATAGAGATAACATTATATATGTGTACCCATTATTATTTATTATTGATAATTGAGATTTGGGTGGACTCTGATAAAGGTCCCGTGATTTTTCTTCCCATATTGGGTTTTCCACTTAGAAAATCTTGGTGCCATTTATTTTTCGCCGTTGTCTTTATTTGATTTCTAAGTTGCTTACTTCAATTTGCACTTGCTTTATTTGTTGGCCCCCAACAAAGTGGTATCAAAGCCAATGGTGGATTGGCCTATCGTGATTCGAGTATTTAAAGATATGGAAAGTCAAGGTCTTATTAAGTATAGCCAAGCTTTGATGGAAGAGGAAATGTTTGATGAGAAGTCAAACTTTGATGAACTCCATGAATACTCGAAAAAGCTTATCCTTGAAGGGAAAAGAATGTGAGTCTAGGACTCACCCTTGAGAGGGAGATGTTGGGGATCTAAGTGTGAGTTAGTGAAGACTCATATTGGTTATGAATGAATTAAATAAGTATCATATAAGTAGAATGACTTATGCACCTAATGTCTTAAAGTTTTGGGTTTAATTATCATGTCTAAGGCCATTTAACGTCGTTGCTCACTTAACTTATGAATGACGGTCTCTCCCTGCCACGAGCTCTCCAGCTCAATAGATCCTGCCCTATATATTTAATATATTTATTTCGTGTTAAACATTCAAAAGTTGACAGGTAAAGCCATACATCGTGTGGGGAGTTTTAGGTGGTGTTTTGTTGGGAGCTTTTCAGCGGATATCTATCTTTCTCAAGTATGGCTTTTTGAAACACCATGTTTGTTTCAACGTTTTTCACCAAAAACCCATCTATCCAATTTGTCTGGATTTATGAGAAACATAGATATCCGCACTGTTTAGAAACCCAATTTGAAGGTGGGATTTTTCGGAAAACTAGTTATCTGGCTTTTAATGCACTGTTGATTTCATAAAGCTACCTAATTTTCCCAGTAAAGTTTTTCCCCACCAAACAACTTTTTTTTACATTTTTCTACCTATCTCACTTTATCTATCTTTCCAATTATTTCTCTATCTATCTCATTTCTCTACTATTCCAAAAAAATTTCCTGAACCAAAGGCCCCCTTAGGGTGATTGATGACACTTACTGTGCAACCTTATGAAGTACGGGGACTTTTGTTTGGTTCCTTCTTTTCATTGTTGAAATAGTCATTGATGCAATCGCGTCTTCATGTATGATTTTTTTATTATTGAAATGTTTCTATGTATATTTTCTTTCTCTTGATACTTATTAATAATAAGTTAAATTTAATTGGTAATTTAAATAATATTATTCTCGTATTAATATATATATTTTTAAATATATTCTCCAATTAATATTTGTTTTTAGGTAAATGCCAGGGGACTAGGGACAATTGTTTCACATGATATATTCTCTATCACCATATGTTAGAGGATGCAAATATACGTTTTTTTTTTTTTTTTTTTTATAAACTGCAGATATACGTCTTTTCAAGCTTACTTACCTTCAATTCATTGCATCTCTCCACTCTCCTCGTATTTATTCTTTCAACTTTTGCTTCATGACCAATTATATCAAATGCGAAATGGTGGTATATATATCTTTACAAAGGAGAAATAATGTTAAAAAAAACACTAAGATATTATAATCTAGGTAAAATTGTAACTAGGGGGTGAAACTGGATCGGGTCGGCCTACAGGGGCCTACGTCAGGCCAGACCTGACCTAGTATATTTCGTAAAATAGGCCGGACTTGGGCTTTGAAAAAGCTTGTTTAATAAAAAGGCCATAGGCCCACTTTCACAAGGCCTGGCCTTATTGTACTATTTATTTCAAATAAAATAAAATATAATAAGTATGCCTTGAAGAAAAAACAAAAAGATATAAATTTAATCAATTGCAATTATTTATAACTTAATTATATTCGATTATATTTTAAAAGAAATTTGCTTTAATTCTTATTAGGAAGAATCAACATCTCAGCATATTAGATTATGTATATGAATATATTAAAAGGTTTTTGGGAGAGGTTATACTTACTACAAGCATTATGATGTGTTTGTTGGATTCATGTAGTTATTTTAATTTACATAGTATGGATTGTTTGTTGGATCTGATGAAATATTTGTTATTTAGTTTGAGCATTTTGCTTTTGAAAGTGACTTAAATGTAGATTGTATAAGTTTTGTTGTGATTCATGATTCTGTTTGGACGTTGAAATTATGATTTTGGGTTTAGCAACATAATTTGAGTATTCTGTAAAGTTGATTCATGGTTGCTTGGAAGTGAAAAAATTAACAGGCTAACGAGCTGGGCCAGACAATTTGTTTTTTTTATAAGTGGGGCAAGGCAGGCTAACAGTTAGACTCATACCAGGCTTGGACCAAACCAAATTAGAATTTTTTAACGTAGGCTTGGGCTTTTCGGGGCAAAGTTTGGCCCAGCCCAACCCACTTTCACCCCTAATTGTAACGCACAAATTCTTTCTTTCTTGTACACATTTTTCAATTTATTTTATGTGCAGGCAATAAAGAGACTAATAAATTTCTTTTACTAACAATTTATTCTTTTATGGCCAAACATCGTCATAAACTTCGTCCAAAATTTGGTTAGCATGGGCTCAGTACTACTTCATAACAAAACAAACACTAGATGTGTATTATATATAATAGGGAAATACATTTGTGATGTTACATGATAAATAAATAGTCATTATATTAAGAAAAAGATAAGACCAATTTATTGTGCCCTTTTTATTTTTTTTAATATTATATAACTTGTCTTTTTTCCTAACATAACAATTATTCATTTATCATGTAAAATGACAAATGCATTTCCCTATATTATAACAACAAATCACATAACTCAAAGTTAAAATTGCATGAAAGATAAAAATGTTTCAAAGTCTTAATCATGGTACAAATAATAAAAGATTATTTTTTTTGGTATCCTAATAATAAAAGATTATTATTAATTACTTTATACAAAAATTTAAAAAAATTATAAATTTATAAATTACAAACTTACCGAGTTCAATTATATTTGACGCGTCTACCAACCATATATATTAAACTAAAAAACTTTCTCTTAAAAAATAGTACATGTTATTTTATTTTATTTTTAAATTATTTTATATTAATTATGCATATAATATCTTCCTTAAAATTTCAAATATTCTTCTCTTTCAATCTATAATTTTTATATTTTACTTAAATGAATTACGCTATCTCTTGTTGATTATAAATATTTTTCTCTTAATTTATATTTTTAAAAAGACTTTAAAAGTAATCGTGCTACCACTAGTACATCAATTATTCGAAACTGTTAGCACTTTTTGGTGGTGTGGTCCTTTTTTTGCCAAGTTACACTGTTCGAGATAGTAAATTTATCTAACCCTTGACCATTGCACTAAATTTTTTTGAGCAACTTCCATATTTGGAGTACAAAAATCCCAAATTCACACTTCCCATTACCACGCACTCTGCAACTATGTCTCTACTTAAAGAAACATCCCCAGTCATTATCACACCAAATTTGTGCAAACTTCCATTGGTACCATAAAAAGTGCAAATGGCCATCCCATTTAAAAAAACACATAACTCATCCCTTAGACATTATGGTTCCAACAACTTATTCACCTAAAAATCCAAGTTCCATTAATATTCCAAACCAATATTTATTCCATCACAAATATCTACAACTCAAACCTCACTCACATCACACTTACCCTAAACACACACACACACACACACACACACACAATGGAAGGGCACATATTGTGCATCATTTTGCTTCAATGTCTCACCGTGGTTACCATAACTAGTGCTAAGGTTCCAGCTATCATTGTCTTTGGTGACTCGTCTGTTGACGCAGGGAACAACAATTACATAGCCACGGTTGCTAGGAGCAATTTCCAGCCATATGGTCGTGACTTTGTAGGTGGAAAACCAACTGGGAGATTCAGCAATGGGAAAATAGCAACAGATTTCATATCTGAAGCATTTGGAATCAAGCCATATATACCAGCATACTTGGATCCTAATTATAACATCTCACATTTTGCCACTGGGGTCACATTTGCTTCTGCTGCTACTGGTTATGACAATGCTACTTCAGATGTGCTAGTAAGTAACGCGCGTCTCATTATTAAAATTATTTTTATATTTATTTATTTTTTATAGATACCAACTGGTATTTGAAGCCCTACTCGACTAATTCAATTTCGGATTTGAGTCTTTTCACTATTCCCACGAGTTGTGTGCGACTCTATGAATTGAACTCACTATCCTTTAGGCTGAAGTCTAGCTGATCGCCACTAGATCAATAACTCTTGGGTTAAAAGTATTTTTTTCTATAGAATGGTGGCATTGGCATTCAAATCTATAATCTCATGCAAACTACCTAAATCCCTCACCAGACTAATACTACGTACTTATATTCAATAGCGGACCTAGAATTTTTTTTTAATGTCTGTACAATTAGAATAAAAGAATAAAGTAAAAAAAAAACTAAAGAAAATTTTAAATATATTAAAATACAAAAGAATATATATAAAAAAAAATTTAACTTAATATGAAAAAAGTAATCAAGAGTCAACTAAACTGTTATAATAGAACATTTTGGGTTCTCAACAAAAATTACGGGCCTCAATTTAATCTCTTAGGGGAAAAAAGTCTACTCGTGATCCTCAGAATTTAAAAATAGACCCAGATAATCAAAATCATAGTCCTCTAAAATTCAAAAAGATTTACATTAATCCCTCAAAAGGACTAACATGGGTCTATTTTGAATTTTAAAGAGATCACGAGTCGACTTTTTTTTTAAGAGATTAAATTGGATCCTGTAACTTTTGTTCATGACTCAATATATATATATATATATATATATATATATATATATATATATTTTTTTTTTTCTCCAAAAAATTTGTGTGTGCACTTGCACACACTAAAACATATGTAGGTCCGTTACTGCTTATATTTAATGTGTTTTTTAATATCAGTATCAATTTATTTATTTTTTTGTGTCATTTCATAATGTTTGATATGTTGCATGAGTTGGATTATACAAACCAAGCTTAATTATTTCCTTTGGTATAAAATAAGCCCATTTCTGATGATGACGATGAAGGTTGTTTGAAAATAAATGGTGCTATTAAAAGGCATTTGGAGACATAACTTCTATGTAGATCTGAATTCAACTTCAGAAATGAAATTTTAGATGTGGCACCTAAATTCAGGTAAAGACACATTTGTATTGTGATGACAATATTTATGTCAATAATATTACTCTTTAAATAACAACTCTAGCATTGTTTATGCTTGATAAAAAGGACTAGAGTTTAAATTACTTTGACAGTTAATTAGTTATGCAATGTGTACAAATTCTGTCCCATTTGGATAACATTATTTATTAATTTGAATTTTGGGTCATAAATGCAGTCTGTGATACCATTATGGAAGCAGTTGGAGTACTACAAGGGATACCAAAAGAAATTGAGTACCTATCTCGGAGAAAGAAGGGCAAATGAGACAATAACAAAGTCATTGCACGTGATAAGTTTAGGAACAAATGACTTTCTAGAGAACTACTATGCAATCCCTGGTAGGGCATCACAATACACACCAAGGGAGTATCAAAGTTTTCTTGCTGGAATAGCTGAGAATTTCATCCACAAACTCTATGGTCTTGGTGCTAGGAAGATATCCCTAGGAGGTTTACCTCCCATGGGGTGCTTGCCCTTAGAGAGGACCACAAATTTTGTTGGTGGAAATGACTGTGTTCCTAGTTACAATAACATTGCATTGGAGTTCAATGATAAACTCAATAAATTGACCACAAAGCTGAAGAAGGACCTTCGTGGAGTCAGAATAGTATTTTCAAATCCGTATGATATTTTGTTGCGTATTGTAAAAAAGCCTTCCCAATATGGTAAGTTATACATATATAGAACTTATAACTAGATTATTTTATTTTTTGTCTTTTTGATGTGCATAGCAGTTGATGTCACACAAACACGGGAAAGGTTAGCGAGTATGTTAGCTTTATTGCATGAAGGTTTTATTTTCATTATTTTTTTATATATACTATAGTGAATTTTACTTATTTTCTTGAAAATTTTACGAGTATCATACTTGCATGCCATAAAAATATTTTAGATGCATTTAATTACATTATTAATAATATAAAAAAAACATACATCAAAATGTAATTTCTAAAACTTAAATTTTGTTTCATGTTCCTTCAATTATCCCTTTTTTCTTATTATTGTTTTCTATTTTTCATATCATTAATACAAAAAGACAAATTTAAAGTTTACGAAACTTTTTTTTTACGATAAGAAAATAAGTTATTATACAGTTGTTTCTTTAAACAAAAGATAAATTAAAACATTATAGATATAATTAAAATATTTTTGTGTTCAGGGTTTCAAGTGACCTCAATGGCATGCTGTGCTACTGGAATGTTTGAGATGGGATATGCATGCAGCAGGGCCAGTCTTTTCAGTTGCATAGATGCTTCCAAATATGTATTTTGGGACTCATTTCATCCAACGGACAAAACCAATGGTATCATTGCAAACTACGTGGTGAAGAACGCATTAGCTCAATTTTTGTATTAAATAAATGTTTAATTTCCGAATTTTATATATGTGATGTAATGTCATTATGTGACTTTTTTAATTAATGGTTGTTTTTAATAATTTCCAAATCAGAATTGTTTGAAAGTTATGTAGCAAAATGCTCTTATTTTAGTACTACTACTTCTGACAAGTTAGAATAATTTTAAAGAAATTGTTCAAAAACCGCCTTCTTTTTTTTTTGGATAGAAAGGAAAACAAAAGGACAAAGCTAGTTAGCAACCATTTTGGGAGTGGCACTCCCCAGTTGGTCCCTTAACAGCAGACTGTTACAATCGGAGGGAGGGGAGTCAAGGATAACTAATTCCCATCCTAGGTGATTATAGGAAGAAGCTAACCAATCAGCTACTGTGTTCCCTCCTCTGTGGATATGGGTTAATTCCACACTCCACTCTCTGTTCAAAAGCGATTGGATCTTTAGGATAATGGATCTACGGTTCTCCATGCAGCCCTGCTTTGAGAGGTCAAGAGCAGTAGTTGAGTCACTCTCCAAGCAAACTTTTCTATACCCTCTGTCCCACGCAAGCCTCACCCTTGTAGAATACCATTTAATTCAGCTGAAAGAGAATTCCCATGCCCAGTATTCTTTCTAAAACCCACTAGCCACCTGCCTTCAACATCGCGAATGACTCCACCACACGACGTGCTGGTCCCATCCAAGGAGCTAGATCCATCCGTGTTAACCTTGATCCAATCAAAAGGGGGAGGAATCCATTTAATGAAGCTAACGGTTCTGGGCCTGGGATGGAGGATAACTGCAGCTTGCATCCTCTCTGACAGAAAGATGTTCTCCACTAGGTTCCTAATCTGCAGGAATGTGCCAACAGCATTTGGAGATTTATCATTGAAAATGAACTCATTACGGTCCAACCAGATGCACCAGCACGTCACCCCAAACCAAATTGCTTTGCAGTCATCAATTTCTCTTGTACCTGTTTTTAGGTTTCCACTCAGCCAGCGCTCCAGTGGCAAAGTAAAGAACTGAGGTTGAACTGTAGGTCCTAGGATCAGTTTCCAAACTCTTCGAGCCGAAACACAGTCTCTAACCATATGGAGGCTGCTTTCGCAAGGATTATGACACCTTGGGCAGGTTGCTGATTCGCCTATACCTCTTCTTAATCTCTGGTCATTGGTAAGGATTTTGTTGTGAAGGAGAAGCCAGAGAAAGAATTGGATCTTATGCGGGGCCTTTCCACTTCCATGGAATTGACCACAAATCATTGCTGGGAAGAGGATCCGGAGACAACTTCCTATACGCACTGTTGACAGAAAAGGATCCATCCTTGGAATCAATCCAAATGATGCAGTCTTCTCCTTCATTTGGGAGAGGAGGCAGCTGACCCGCTATGATATTGTGAATGTATGGAGGTATGATATGTTGGAAGCTCTGCCAGTTCCAGTTATCAAGTTGGTCTACATATCTGCTAACGCTCCACTTCAGGGTCTCCTCAGGGACAGTTACAGTAGCAGAATCAATTAGAGGCTTCTCAGTCGGCAGCCATCTATCAGTCCAAAATTTTGCTTTCCTCCCATTCCCAACAAGGATCCTCGAGTTGGCAGTTACATCTTCCCAGGAGTTTTGGACACCTTTCCACAGGTTGGACTTAATGGGATGCCTCCCAATATCAGGTAACAGGTCCTCGCCAACCCCATATTTGTTGCGGATGACCTTCACCCAAAGGGAGTTTGGCTTGGAAAGAATACCATGCCCGATCTTCATAATCATGGCCTTGTTCATCAATCTGGACTGTTTCATACCCACACCCCCATCACCTCTATGAGCACACAGCGTACCCCAATTAACCAGGTGGATTTTCCGTTGTTCTGTGGATGAGCCCCATATGAAACTCCTCATTTTTTTGTCCAGGTTATCACAGAGCTGAAGGGGAAAGGATACTGACTGCATGGTGTAGGTAGGTAGAGCAGCAAGCACAGACTTGGCAAGGGTAACCCTCCCAGCTAAGGGCAAGTTGTGGTGGCTCCAACTGTTCAACCTGTTATTGACTCTCACCATAACCTGGGCTAGTGAATCTTTGGACACACGGTTATGATGGAGAGAAACCCCAAGATACTTCCCAAGATCCCCTGTAAGGTTAATGTTCACGCACTCGCTGATCTCTTTAGCCTTCGGAAAACAAGTATTTATGGAGAAGAACACTTTTGACTTATCTCGGCTGATACTTTGCCCAGAAGCTTGGCAAAACGTTCTAAGGACCTGATTAATTAACTGAGCTTGGTCGAGGGAAGCTTCCGCAAACAGAATAATATCATCCGCAAAAAGAAGATGGGTCATGGGAGGCCCATTCCTCTTCAGGATTATCGGTTTTCAGGCTTTAACCTCATTCGCAACCTGAATCAAGTGGGCTAGTCTTTCTGCACATAAGACAGAGAGGTAAGGGGATAGGGGATCTCCTTGACGGATTTCTCTACCAGGCTTGAAATCTTTAGTTCTCTTGTCGTTCCACAAAAGGTTCATCGATGCAGAGTTAACACACATGTCAATCAACCGGATTAGGTTCTCAGGCAAGCCAACTTCCACAAGAGTATAATGGATGAAGCTCCACTCCAACCTGTCGTAAGCCTTTTCGAGGTCCAATTTAATAGCCATACACTGTTTCGCACCTTTTTTCACCTTCATGGAATGAATTACCTCCTGAGCAATAACAATATTACCATTCCCATTCCTTCCAAGAACGAAACTGCATTGAGTAGGGGAGATCCAGGTCTGCATATGATCTCTCAGCCGACTAGCAATGACCTTGGTTATAATCTTGTAGGACACATTACAGAGGCTAATGGGTCGGAATTGATTAATTCTTTCGGGCACTTCCACCTTCGGAATAAGAACCACGAGCGTCTGGTTGATCTCAGCAACCTTTTTTAGATTAGAGAAAACCTCCTGGATGAGTCGACAAAGGGAAAGGTGGATAGAGTTCCATTGAGTCTGATAGAAGACAGCTTGAAGACCATCCGGGCCAGGGGCTTCGAATTTGCCCATGCTGAAAACAGTCCTCCTGATTTCCTCAATGGAAGGAGCCATACCAAGCTCCAAGAGCCTCTCATTCTCTAACCGAGGAAAGGCTCCTTTGATAGGAAAGTCATCCAGGTCAATCTCCCCCGCAAAATAGATTTTGGCAAAGTACTCCAAAGCTAAGTCGATGATTTCCTGGGGCTCAGCAAGCCAGTTGCCATCGGCATTCATGATAGCATTGATCTTATTTCTTCTTCTCTTAGCCACTGTATTGGAGTGATAAAACTTTGTATTCATGTCCCCTATTTTAATCCAGTTGCAACGAGACCTTTGGAACCAGTCAAGCTCTTCTCGTATAAGAATACATTCCAGTTCCTTCCAAAGGGATCTTAACAGGCTAACAAGGCTATGATCGTACCGGAAGCTGAGCTGATCCTCAACACCTTTGATTCTTGCATGTAACCTATTTTTTTGTCTCTGAGATACTCTGAAGGTGTTCCTATGCCAATCCAGCACTTCCACTGAAATTTTTCCCTAGCCTCTGACTAGCTATGAGAATTGTTCCAGCACTTGGAGACAAGGTCACCAAAATCGTCAGCTGTTAGCCAAGAGGCTAGAAATCTAAACGGCTTCTCTCTTGAACACTGATCCTCCACAGTCCTATTGGTTACTAAAATAGGACGATGGTCAGATGAATAGTATGGAAGGTGAACTACGTACCTGTTCTCCTAAGCCATATCCCATTTGTCATTCACACAAACTCTATCCATCCGTTCTTGTAAATCATTCTGTTTCCAAGTGAAGCTCGGACCTGTGTGCCCAACATCTTTCAAGAGGCAAGCGTCCAAACAATCTCTAAAATCAGTAGCATTACTCCAGCAAAAATCACCCCCTCCTTTCTTTTTTGAGCGGAGGAGCATGAAATCCCCTAACACCATCCAACTATCGTTATTGACAGTAGAGACAATTTGAATGAGTGCCTTTCCGTACGTCTAGGGCTTGCGTAAACAAAGGAGATTAGCTCATTTTTTTCCAGTCTCCTTATGATGCGCTTTCACATGAACAAATTGGTGAAGCGATAGGAGAATCTGGATGGAGATATCAGCCTCATCCCAAAGGACCCATATACCCCCAGAGAACGCCAAGGCATCCTGGGGGTGGGAATTATTGAATCCAAACTGCTTGATTCTTTTCTCAGCCTTCTCCCCACTACATCTGGTTTCAAGGAGAATAAGCACTTTGATCTTAAACCTAAACTTTAAGTCCCGGATAAGAGCAACAAAACCTTTTTTATGCACACCCCTACTGTTCCAAATAAAGAAAGTCATAAGGAAACTAATAGAAGGGACAAATGTGGGCCTGAGAGGGCTGGGCCAAGACATTATTGGGCTGTTGAATGAGAACCCCAAATCGCTAGGGTCTGATCCAGCAAGGCGTTTTCCTGGTCTTTATCCATGAATTCCATCATAGTTATGATCTCCTCTTCCTTGGCCCTTGATGGGACGTAAATTCGTTCCCATCTAAGCCCATTTTGATGGAAAAATACCATACGTTCCCTCATCTGATGAGCAACTTCAGCATGAAAATCACTTGTTTTACACATTTGTGACAAAAACACAGTGGGGGAACGGATGGTAACGGATTCCTTTAAAATATATTAAAAGGGGAACGGACTGAGACGCATTTAATGCACCTGCTCCATTCATGTAATGCTTCTGTACACTTTGTAGGTAACGTAGAGTTAAAGACTTCTAAAAAGCAAGGCGGTGCACCAACTGAGCAGCTAGAAACGTGAAGAGCAGAGAATCAAGAGTTCTCATTGGCTGAAAACAGAAGCAAAGCATGGGAAGGTCTGCAAACAACGGCTAATCATCACCAAATCCTGTTCCATTCAGCAATTCACGCAAGCTTCACACTTTGCTACCACAGTCCCGTCCCCTCATTCAAGCAACTAGCTCCAAAGGAATTACAGTCTTGCCACTCCTCTTCCAGCTATAAATAGGACCACCCT